CAGGGTTGCTATGGAAACAGAGGGCGTAGGCCAAAGAATCCCCTTTTGAATTCACAGGCCTAGCTGCAAATAGGAGCATGCCTAACCCTTGTCACTGTGTATATGCAAGGGGATTGGTCCTGCCCCCCACGTCTGTACGCAGGGTGGAGACATTCATACCTAAAGGGGTGTCACCTGTCCACAAATCTATATCTGCAAGGGGTGGTCCCCTGCACCCCAGTTCTGTATGCAAAGGGAGTGCTCATGTTGTCTATCTAGGGGAGAGTATTGCCCCCTAAGTCTATACACAAAGGGGACCCGTGTTATCTATCTCTCCTGTATGCAAAGCAGTGTTCCCTCTGAGATTTTCCATCCATGAGCCAAGTGAATGTTGAGGTCACGTGCACTGGTTTGGATGTGTGCCACTGTGGCACCCAAGTTATTAACAAATAGCTTATACATATTTTTAAAATAGCGATAGAGATGCAGCCGTGTTAGTCTGGTCTAGCTAAAACAAAAGACAGAACTATGTAGCACTTTAAAGACTAACAAGATGGTTTATTAGGTGATGAGCTTTCGTGGGCCAGACCCACTTCCTCAGATCAATTTGTGGAAGAAAATTGGCACGACCATATATACCAAAGTGTTGCAATCAAAAAAAGTGAACACATATAAAACTGACAGATCAAATTTTAGACTCACCCACACACTGTTCTAAAATTTGATTTGTCAATTTTATATGTGTTCACTTTTTTTGATTGTGTATCACTTTGTTATATATGGTCATGCTAATTTTCTTCCACAAATTGATCTGAGGAAGTGGGTCTGGCCCACGAAAGCTCATCACCTAATAAACCATCGTTAGTCTTTAAAGTGCTACACAGTTCTGTCTTATATTTTTAAAATGTTATGGAAGAAAGAATATTAAAACAAGGGATAATTAACAAGGTGCATGACTTTAAATGTTTATTTAATATGAAATCAAATCCAAACAAAATAAATACTGCAAAAACTGTGTGTCTGTAACCCATGTCTGGGCCCTTTTAAATCGCTGGCCCTCGGCAATTGAGCGCCTCTGCCTCACTGTACTTGTTGGTGGGCCTGGAGGTGGTGGTGAGATACAGAACAATACCAGCCAGACACACTCAGGTCAGCCTCAGGGGACGCAGTGGGGAGCTGGCCTTGTTCATGCAGCTTGGCCGCAGGCAGAAAATTGCAGGTGTTGCAGGGACTCGGGCCCAGGGTGACCCATGGTCCTTGCATCCCTCGAGCCTTGGTTGCTGCCACTGGGGACCCCTAAATCCTGGCTGCGGGCATGGAATACTTCTAGCAAGTGAGACATTCCAGCTGCTCCCCAAGAGACTCTCCTAGTGCAGAGAACCCAGCTTGGTCTCCCTTGCTAGATAGCACCTCCCCTCCCCTGTGGGGAGAAGGTGAGACCTGCCCTCCCCCAGATGCGCTGCTTCATTGGCAGCCTGTGTGTAGGGTAGAGGCTACCCCAAGCAGCTCCCCATGGGGTTGGCTGTGAGTCCAGATAAGTAATCAATTCAGATTTTGTACCTAATTTCCAGCTCTCTCCTCTAACTTGGGCCTATAGTGATTCCCAATAGCACATCCTCCATAAATCAGACATCATTCAAAAGTTGGCAAGCAAATATATATTGCATTCTACCTGGAATAACAATTCAGGACCCAATCCTGTATCTGTTGAGTCTAATTACTCTCAATTGATTTAATGAGAGCTGAGGATGCAGAGCACCTCTTAGGTTCTTATGTGGTTGAATTGTCACTAACTATACATAAAAATAGTCTTGAATTGAGACTTTGTATTATTTGGGGACTGAACTACAAAAATGTGACTGTTGCCAGTCAAGAGGAAGCATATTTCTGTTCCCCCACTTTTCACCTTTCTCTCTTCATTGCAATCAGACATTTTTTTCTCCACGCTAGTAGAAATTAGAACCTAGATAGCAACAGACATTTATTTCAATTTAAGCCCTTGGTAGGGAGCCAGGACATCCTTTTTAAAATTTTATTGTTATGAGTCTTGAGCACTACATCTATTCTCCTTGCTGCAATAATTTCATAGTGAGTTTCTATGTTGTGATGGATAGTAGTAGTACTTGCAAGCACGCGATGACTAAAGGGTTAAACTCACCCTAGGTAAGGGTGTTGGCAGGGAGCCAGAAGACTCAATGGGATACAGTGCTGAAATTTAAATATATACCTGCTGCTGTTTCTCTTTCTGTGAGTTTTTTAAGTTAGGAGCTGGAGGAAGCAAGATGAAGTAATCAGACAGAATTACTGTGCCTACAAGGAATATTGGGCATGGGAATAGACTGGGCCTTGAAAGTACAGATCAGTACAGCTCATGAGTAGATAGAGAAATTTATGTTTAGTTGAAATTAGGGTATTTTTCTTTGTTTTGTTGTTTGGTTAAACTTCCCTGTGTGAAATCCAAGTGCCTTCCTCTTCCCCCCATTCGCTATGCCAGAGATGCCATATTTTCTTTGTGTTTTAATCTGCTTTTTTCTCAGTTGCTCTGAAATACCTAGCAACTAAATATTTTTGTTTTGTTATTAAAATCACCTTCTTTTAAAGTGATGATTTGAGTCTTGTGTCCTGAAAAGTAACAAGGGGTCTCTGTGTGTGCGCCTACCTAAAACTGAAAGGTCAGCTTTTAGAGACTGCAGTTTGTTTTCTGTGGTTTTTTCTTTTTTCAAGCTCTCTTGTGGTAAAAGAGCTTAAGGTATCCCTTGGGAAAAAGTTCAAGTGTTTTTTCCTGGTTTTCAATATTTTCATTCACTTGATGGTGGCAGCCTATCTCCCAGAGTCAGTGAATCTGTGACTCTGGGGAGCTTTTTTAGCAGAGCCTATAAAGGTAAGGTATTTTTAAGGTCTCTTGCAGGCCCCCACCTTCTGTACTCAGAGTGCCAGAGTGGGGAACAGCCCTGAGATATGTGTATTACTTTTGTTCCATAGAACAAAAGAGGCACTAATGGCATCATTTCAGTGATGAATGCCACCATTGTGTTGCTTTGTTGTTTCCCATTCCTCAGGAAAATCTACAGAGGCTCATATTGTACTAATTTACTGTCCTATTTGCTAATGTCAGCAAGACCAGAAGGCTCAAGAGAACAGGCAGATAGGTGGGGTACGATTGTACTGTGGGGCTATGTCTACACTGGGAAGGATTGGCAATGAAAGTGCTGTTGACATGCAAAAGTAGCCAAAAGTGAAAAACCGTCAAACTGCTTTTTCTGCCTCCCATTGTCGACATTTCATATACATATTGCTAGAACCCTCTAAAGAGCAAAGCAATGTGGGCAAACATCTCGTAGTTCAGTGTTATGGGAAGGCAGAGCTGATCTCTGAGCTTCCTGGATTCCCTCGTAGCTCTGTGAGCTCTCCATGCTGAGGCATGTCAAAGTAGCCCAGCAATCTCCCCAGCCTTTTGTTTCAGCAGAAGTAGTCTGCCTGCTGCTATATTCCTCCTAGCAGGGGAGAACAGGAGCATTCCAATGATTTTTTCTTTGTTCTTCAAATGGAGCAGCTCAATAAAATGTCAGATACTTCCCAGAGTTTTGAAAGGGGAGGGGCACATACCTGCAGGGCAGCAGAGATCACAAAACACTGAGCACAGCCATCAGGGCAGACATCATGGGATACTGGTGGAAGCTATTTCTCTCAACAAAACAAACAGCAAAGTTTACACTGGCTCTTTGTCAACAATTAAGGAAGGGGAAAAGACAAAAGTCTCTCAGAGGGCTGGAAGTTTTTGTCACCAAAACGTGGTGTTTTTCCTGAAAAAAAAGTAACATTGCAGTGCAAATGCTCTCATTGTTTTGTCACCAAAAGGAGAACTATCGGGGAGCGGGGTTTGCCACCTTCCAGCCGGTACCAGACCACGGTAGACCCCCGCCCCCACTGACGTCACGAAGAAGCGAGACGGGACGACCGGAAGCGGCGGCTGCCTTTCCGGGAGTCCAGGGAAGGGCGGGCAAGTGATTGGCCCGGAGACCGGGATTCGAACGCGCGCGCGCCGCTGTCACCAAAAGGAGAACTATCGGGGAGCGGGGTTTGCCACCTTCCAGCCGGTACCAGACCACGGTAGACCCCCGCCCCCACTGACGTCACGAAGAAGCGAGACGGGACGACCGGAAGCGGCGGCTGCCTTTCCGGGAGTCCAGGGAAGGGCGGGCAAGTGATTGGCCCGGAGACCGGGATTCGAACGCGCGCGCGCCGCACCCTT